ATGGGTACTGAGGAGGGCACCTTTTGGGATGAGCACTGGGTGTTGTATGGAAACCAATTTGACAATAAATTTCATATATAAATAAAAAAAATAAATAAAGATACCATTATGAGCAAGATTGACACAACACCTGGCCTCATGGAGCTTACAAATGAGTTGGGAGTCAGTCAACATACACTACTGAGCACCTACTGTGTTCCAGGCACTGTTCTAGGTGCTTGGGAAAGACCATGAGTAAGGCAAATGAGTTCCTGCCCCTAAAATACAGAGATGGGAAGCGAGTAGTATTGTGAGACAGGCCATAAACAGGTTGAAAAATAATAATTTCAAGTAGGTCCATGAAAAAACTTAAGCCAGGGTAATGTTGCACCTATCTCACATAGTTTTGTTGGGGCCCAAATGAAATTATCCACATAAACAGAGTAGGATGGAGCCTCACCTAGAGGGTTATTATACGTTTATTATAGATCATTGCAGTTTTTGGAGAAATGCTCTCCAAGGAAGTAAAATAGGACCTGCAATCTGAATGATGAAAAGGAGTTAGCCATTCAAAGATGTAGGAAGACAGTTTCAGGCTGAAGTGACCATTACTGCAAACTGCAGAGGTGAGAACCAGCTTAGCCTGCTTGGAGCATGAAAGAAAGCTGGTGCAGAGGGGTGGCAGTGAATAAGCCAGAGACAGAAGAAAAGAGATGAGGCCAGAGAATCTGGCAGGACTCAGATCATGTGAATTCTTAAAAGCCAGGTAAAGAGTTTGAATTTTATTCTCAAGTGTAATTAGGTATTAAGAATAGATGTGAGGTGTGCCCGGGCGGCTCAGTTGGTTAAGCATCCGACTTTGGCTCAGGTCATGATCTCACAGTTCGTGAGTTCAAACCTCACATCAGGCTCTGTGCTGACAGCTCAGAGCCTGGTGCCTGCTTCGTATTGTGTCTCCCTCTCTCTGCCTCTCTCTCTCTCAAAAATAAACATAAAAAAAAGAATAGATGTGACATGATTTGATTTACAGTTGAAAAGACTACTCTGATTGCTGGGGAGGCTAATGGGGAAAAGAATAGAAGTGGAGAGACCAGTTGGGAGGCAGGTGAAAGATAATGACGGATTAGCCTAAGGCTGTACAATTAGAAATGGTAAAAATGGCTGACTTTGGGGTATAATTTGGAGAATAAAGTTGACAGGACTCGATAATGGATTAGATATGGTGGATGGGAAGACAGGAACAAAGGAGAGATTTACCAGGGATGATGACTAGATTTTTGATCTGAGCACCTGGGTAGATACTGGTATCATGAACTAAAATGGGGGAAGACAGGGAGAAAAGCAGGTTTCAGGGGAAAGAGAGGTCCAGACAAAAATCAATGGTTCTGTTTGGTTGTGATAGTCTTCAGAAGGTTGTTATACTCTAAGTGAAGATATTGTTTAGGCAATTGGCTAACTCTGTCTACACTGAAGGGGACAGGTCCAAGCTGGAGGTATTTCAAAACAAAGGACAAGATAAGATCACCTGGTGACCAACAGTGGATACACAGGAATACAGACGGCAGAGGATTAGATATTGAATTACAATACAAGGAGATACGTGCTGTGAAAGGGGAAATGCCAGGTCAGTGGAGAAGGAAGTTGGTCAGGGAAAGAAAGTTCCATGGAAGAATTATATCTGAGCGCTAAGATCCAAGAAAAACCAAGCAGGGACATTGTATCAGTCAGAATCATGGCACAGAGATGTAATTTGCAACTGGCCACATGGTTAGTGGTATAACTGTTATTTTCCTTTATACTTGAACCACTTTATGTCAAATGTGTACCTTACTGAGAGCAGCCGGACACCTGGAGCAAGTTCTCTGGAGTTATTCTGCTTGGGTTCAAATGCTGCATCTGTCACTTACTAGGTGGGTGACTCCAGGCACATTACTCAGCATCTCTGCACTCCACTTTTCTTACCTGTAAATGAGCATACTACAAATTGCTAACTACTAAAGTGATGCTTACTATGTTCCTTGTACTAAGTTTTTACATACGTTATTCAACACCCCCCTCCAAAATCAATGGAGTTGAGTTATTATTATCTGTGCCTTACTGATGAGGGACTGGAAGCACATTTACCCATTCCAATATTTATCGTGTGCCTGCTGTCAGGCACGTTTCTTCACACATCGGTTAACACAACAAAATCCTCGCTTTTGTGCAGTTTCAGTCTGTGGTTTGAGGAAAAGAACGATGATAAACTTAATAAATATGTATATTATCTAGTAATTATAAGATGATAAATGCTATAGAGATAACAGAACAGGATAATAAAGCTAGTGTAGTTACGGTTTTCAGCCGAGTATTAGGGTAGACCTCACTGAGAAGGTGACATTTGAGCAAAGGTTTGAAGGAGGCGAGACAGTGAGCCGCCACTCAAGCATCTGGGTAAAGAGGACTCAGGAGTGGGCACAAGTGCAAAGGCAGGCTCTCAGGCAGGAGCACGTGCCTAGTACCCACCAACCACCCGAGCGCAAGGGAGAGGAGGGAGACGTGGGGAAAGGCAAGGGCTATGTATCCAGTTGCAAGCAGTCTGACTTCTGGGTGACAGCAGCCACTGGACAGTTCCGCCCAGAGGAGTGAAAGAACTTGACCTCCTATATCGGTCCTTCTATTTACGCCCAAGGTCCACCCAGGCAGTGTGGCACAGGGGTCTGCGCTCTCAGGAGTAAAGGATCAGAGTCGTCACCACAGTGGCTCATCCACACGGCAAGCGCCCAGTAAGCGCCGGCCCAGTACCGTGGTTACCACGATCCTTTCACTCAAACCCCGCCTCAACCTACCGCCCTCCTGTTCCCCAGCTCCAGAGCTCGGCTTCCACTTAGCGCGGTCTCCACGTAGCGCTTCCCCGGCTACGGATTGCGCAACTCAGGCAGCCGGGAGGAGCCTGGACGTAGGCGGAGCAGCGACCGGCGGGAGAACGCCCCGGGTGCAGACGCCACAAGGAAGCCCCGACAGCCCTCGAGGCGCCCACTGACTGCGCCTGCGCACCCTCGATCCAGGCCGCCTACATTCCAGAGCCGCAATCCGTCCAGCCCCAATTCCGGGGCGGAGTTCTTGGCTGCGCCTGCGCACAGCCTCGCCGCACCCTACGCCTGCGTGATTAGCCAGCCCGGCCCCATCCCCCAGATTTTTTCGGGTGGGGGAGGGGTCGCGTCTCGGCGAGTCACGTTGATGGCGGCCACCAGCTTGTGGTGAGCTAGCGGATTCTCTGCTTGTCTCGCAGACCCCTCGTGCCTCTTGGACTCAGTGGCTGGCGCCGGGCGCGTGAGGAAGCACGGCGGCCCAAACTCTCGGGGAAGGCCGCAGTCGCGGAGGCAGCGGCGCGGCCCGGGGCCAGGGCTGGGGGAGAGGCCGCTCCGCAGGGCGAATGTGACAAGCCCCCACCCCCACCGCCTTCCTCCCGAGTGCGCTAGGAGCGCGGGCGACCCCGGGGCCCCGCCAGGCCACAGACCCCGCCCAGCGGCCAGCACCCGGAGCAGGCCCGGCAGCGGAGCTGCGCGGCGGCACCATGCTGGTCACCCTGAAGACCCTCCAGCAGCAGACCTTCAAGATCGACATAGACCCCGACGAGACGGTGCGAGCGGTGGGGAGCGCGGGGCCCGGGCAGGGCGGGGGCGGCCGCGCGCGGGCCTCGGGGAGCGCTAGGGGGCCGCCGGGCCTGAGCGGGGGGCGGTGCGGCGGTTCTGTGCGCTGGGCCTGGGCTTCAGCTCCGAGCAGGGCCCGGCAGAGCGCCCGATCGAAGAGAGCCCTCAGCACACCCGGGAGTGCGCAGCGAGCGTGGGGCTCGAGCTCCGGGAGCTGGTTAAGGCCTGAGGACTCAGGGCCGCGGCGGCGTGCGGCCCACGCGAGCCTTCGGAGTTGGCCGCAGGCTTTGTGGCAGGAGTAAGGGGAAGCAGTGGCCGGACGCCGAGGCCCTGGTGGCAGATGGCGTGGAGCACACGGCCGCCGGGCACAGGAGGCCTGGGCCCGGGAGCTCTCGGTAGTGGGGCCAGAGGGGGAGGGGAGGTCAAGGCCTCCTCGGTGATGGAGCCGGGCTCTCTGGGTGCTTAGGTGCGGGAGGGAGTTGTAGGCGTCGCCACCACCCCTGCTCGGACCTGGTTAGGCGCTAAGGTCTAGGAGGTGGTAACTGAAGATAATGAGCCTTTTAAAAAAAGCTATCAGGTTCCGTCAGCCGCAGAGCGAAAGGTGAGTGGTGAAAATGAATTATTTGCCTCTTCTCCAGAACTGGTAATCCTTTTATTTGCATATACTATCGTGAATCGTTTAGCCGCAGTTCTCCCGCCACCAAGCCCACACCCATACGTAATTCGCACTCCCAGGCCTGTGTGGTGGTGAAGATTTTTTGCGTTAGAGCCCTTCAAATCCAGGCTCACACTCAACTTCAGGTTAATGACTCCTCTGTGGTAGAAGTCTTCTAATGTAGGTATTGGAAACCCTGCACCCATCCCCCGGCCCCCAAATAACAGAATTTCAGGGAAGAAAAAAAGAAAATAAAAACTTTGAATCTCTTCTGTCGTCAAACCCACGAACACTTCGAAAGTCCACGTGGTAAATTCTCGTGCCATCGTCTGTATTTGTGACTGCAAGATGTCAGTACAACTTATGCCAAGAATCTAAAAACGCCACCGGTGTAAATCTGTTGCTTTTGTTTTTGAATTGTGGTTCCTTTACACCATTAAGATTGACATGTTAAGTTTAAACCAGCTACTTTTTAACAATCTATATTTAAAAAAATAGTTGATTCTATTTTTGGTGGAGATCAGGGTTCTTGGTGTTAAATAGACCAGTGCCATTTGTGCCTCTAACTTATTTGCTATGTACCTGCCTTTCAGAGATGTAAGGATATAATGGTATTTAATTGGTGGTTAGTAAATGAAATCGATCATTAGCAATGGCTGTCTTTGGGTGAGGATATAGTGTTAAGTTTTACCTGTCTCACTTAACCTGAAGTTTTCTGCATCTTCAATTATTTAAGAAACATAGTTTCCAATCTTTGTGGAATTGTGGCACAAAATAATTTTATTTCAATAATATGTAGAAGTATGCTTTCTGATAAATTCTTAAAGTACAGGAGATAGCAATTATAGATGAGTAACTTTTCAGTATCCTGAGTAACTGACAACACCCTGTGGATTGATATTACTAATAAAAGTCAGATTTTTCTTGAATGTTTCTTTATGGCTTAGTGTGTACTAGTAAGTTAAAGGATGAAAGTTAAAGTGCAGCTGTCTGTTTAACGCTTTCAGACAAAACTTTTTATAAAATGTCTATTTGAATTTGGTTCTTTGCAGTAATACTGGTGCCACAGGAACTTTACCAGCTTGTAATGTTCTGAATTAGTTCCAGAATTATTGAAGCCTCAAGGAGGTTTTTGTAAATATCTGTGGATTAATTAAAGTTATGCCCTGACTTTCTATAGCTCTACTGGCTGTTCTGTAAGATTTGTAGGCATTTTGTGCATTAATTATTTTAGAGCCAATATTGTTTTTGTATATATTCTTAACTATATTTGCTGTTTACCAGTTTATTTACAAGGGAATGTCTTATGTTACACGAATTATAAATATACGCTTCTAAAAGCGTATTTTTAGAAAGTTCGTTGTCATGGAGATTGGCTTTTTCAGCTTTTTGTTGCCATTTTTCTAAATATAATTGTGTTACTATTTATATAAATATAAAAACTAGCATTGTTTGGAGCAAGAAATGAAAACATTTAATCGTTGATATGGAGCATTTACATTAACATGATTTGTAGGATTTCTTTCTTTTCTTTTTTTTAAGATTTCATTTTTAGGTAATCTTTACACCCAGTGTGAAGCTTGAACTTACAACCCCAAGATCAAGAGTCCTGTGCTCCACCAATTGAGCCAGCCAGGAACCCCTTGTAGGATTTCATTTTAGTGGATTTAAATTTCAGAAATGTTTATAGTGATTTTTTTTAATATCTTTATATTTTTAATTTTTTTTAATGTTTATTTTTGAGAAAGAGAGTACAACCAGGGGAAGAGCAGAGAGAGGGAGACACAGAATCCAAAGCAGGCTCCAGGCTCTAGGCTCTGAGCTGTCAGCGCAGAGCCTGATACGGGCTTGAACAAACCTTGAGATCACCTGAGCCGAAGACGGCTGCCTAACCACCCAGATGCCCCTGATATCTATTTTTGATATAGTATTTGAGTAGAATTACTGTAAGGAAAGAAAGGATGAATGTTCTATTAATATAGGGAGACTCTAAGTGTCCTGTTTCTAATTTGTGGTGAAAACTAGGTAACCGGGGATATTAGAAATAGATTTTTTAATAAAGCAGAGAAAACAGGATTTTAGTGAGGCCTGTAAGGAGATCCACATAAAATGAACAGTTTTTGCTCTATGAGACTTGTGTTTTGGCTATTCAAAGGTTTGCCCTTGTTTGATGTTTACCTAGAAGGAATTAAGAAAATTAAGTAACTTCAAGTGGCCAATATAGAAAGTCTTAAGAGTTTGAGATGTGCAAGAGCAAAAATAAAGGAAAAAAAAGGACTGGGATATAGGAATCATGAGAGTGATTCATTTGTTGAACATCTATATGTTTAGTGGTCTTTGAGTGTCAGCATTGGAGGAATACAGGCACGTTGGGACAGGGTCTGTCTGGGTCTTCTGGGAGCCTTGCTGACCTAGTGGCTCAATAGCTATAGAGTAGGAGATGTACAAAGTGGAAAAAGGAACAGGATTTGTTTTTAAATTGTTTGTGTTTGCTTTAGTTTTTGAATGCTGAAACTCCTCTCCCTCTTTTTATTTTAATTAAAAAAAATTTTTTTAACATTTATTTATTATTGAGAGACAGACACAGAGTGTGAGCAGGGGAGGGGCAGAGAGAGGGGGAGACACAGAATCTGAAGCAGGTTCCAGGCTCTGAGCTGTCAGCACAGAGCCCAAACCTGGGCTTGAAGTCACAAACTGCGGGATCATGACCTGAGCTGAAGTCAGATGCTTAACCAACTGAGCCACCCAGGCGCCCCTCCTCTCCATCTTTTTTAACCGCCAAAATTTTCTTGACACTTAATCAGCCATTTTGTACCATTTGTTTGACCGTTACCATGCACTGCCTTTAGTGTTAACCAATGCAAAACAATCTTTTTATTATCACGATAGTAATGCATCCCTTATAAAATATTCAGACAAGATAGAAACAAAATGAGTAGGTTGGATGAGAAGACCATTGCTAAAAGAGAATATTCTTAATTATGTGAAGTTTTGTTTTAAAGAGATGATTTACTGTAAAAAAAAATAGAAATTAGCATTCTGAGATGTCTAATAGACTGCTACTTGTATAAAATTCTTTAAAATTTTGAAAGTTGGTGGAGCGCCTGGGTGGCTCAGTTGGTTAAGTGTCCGAATTTGGCTCAGGTCATGAGCTCACGGTTTGTGGGTTCCAGCCCCATGTCGGACTCTATGCTGTCAGTGCGGAGCCTGCTTCAGATCCTCTGTCTCCCTCTCTCTCTGCCCCTTCCCCACTTGGGCTCTATCTGTCAAAAATAAATAAACGTTAGAAAACAACTTCTTTTGAAATTTGGTCATGTGATGGACATTTAGAGGAAAATGGAATACAGTTTTTTTTTTAAAGCTCAGATCCAAAGTCACTTAGTTTTTTCTGTTTCGCTATTACTTCAACCCATTGCTTTAACTTGAAAAACCCTTTTGCTATTACTTCAACCCAACCTGGAACAGGTAGATTAGAACAAAACTTGAAATGATTGTAATACGTTGCAGATCTTATTGTATCTGTGAAAAGGTTAACAAGAAAGAATATGTGATATACAGATTTAATCCTTCAATATGCTAACTCTGTCACTGTTTGTGTGCTTTGAATAACTGGAAAAAAAAAATAAGTCTGACATGAAACTTTAAATGAAGAAGCTGAAATGCGATTATATTAACACATCAAAGCTGTGTATATACGTTGGAAGTTTTGGACAAGAAAATTGTAAAGATAAAACAGTTTTAATTACTGTAGACTGCACACTTAGCGTATTGTACAGTAGTCTACAAAGAATTACCTTGCTTTGTGGTTTATTTGTATAATGTTGGTGATTATGCTGTAAAATGCTGTTTTGTACTTGTATAGTATATGGTATTTGTTAGACATCATTTATTAGCAACTTGTTCCTATTGCAGTTTATTACATTTTAATATGGTTGTGCTGGAGATAGTACTTTATTATAGAAGTTTCCTAGATTATTAAAACAAGAAGAATAAATGTATTAAAATACTGTATCACAGAGATGAAATTAAGATTTGTTGGCATATTGGTAAATCACAGTACTGGAAGTACCTGGGAAATCTGGTATGGTTTCTGCCAGAATTTTGCTCTTCCTATACCTAGCACATAGTAGGCATTTAGTAAACATCTTTTGAATGAGCTGAATACATTCTTCTAGTGAACTATCAAGTTAGTGATCCCCCAGTGTTTGTATGTTGATTTATCTAATATTTGTTGAGCACTTTAAATATCTTGTCCTACTGTTACAGTACATATTTTATAATGGAACAAATCCGTTTAAAAACAAATTTTAATAACCAGATAATGCTAAGAGCTAT